TTTTTTTTTTCTTTTTTTTTTTTTTTTTTTTTTTTTTGTGTGTGTGTGTATGTGCTTGGATCCTGATTTGCTGTGTGTGGTGGGGGCTCTCTGTATTTTCTATGTATTCTGACAAGCCCTTGCTGGATTCCTACTCTTTGTTACCTGATTAAAAAGAAGAAACAACCGCTTGGGAGAGAAGTCTGCTTATATAAATGCAACAGGTTAGATGACTTTTTCCTCTTTTGGTCGTTGGGGTTTTACTTTCCTCCAAAGTGAGGATGCATTGGAGTCACAAGGTTTAGAGCAAGAGACAAACTCATTTAAAAGTTTATTGTATTTGAGTAAGACCTTAATCCTGATTTTTGCCACAGTACTGTCTATGCTGTAGCTAACTGTCGTCTAGCAGGTTAATTTAGTATTTTTGGAAGAGCTTGAGAGCGTAAAACAACATCTCTTAAAAGTTAGTAAGCCCAAGACATTGCATGGATTTAATGAGGCCTGCTCCCGAGATGCTTGGGTAATTCACCCTGGTCTCTCTGAAGTTAATTACGTGCTAGCATACAAAGCCTAAATCCTTATACAGTACCTTACAGATGTCACTATGAACTTATTAAATCCTGTAATGCATCATCAGTCTTGTCGGTGTCAGGCAGAGCGAAGGGCTCTGAGCACTGCGGAGGACTGGGCATGTCTTAAGAATTCATTATGAAAAGGAATTATTAATTATTTTGCTGTGCCTTTCCACTGGAAGGCATTAATCATGTAGCAGATAATATTCTCTGAGGCTTCACACAATAAAGTGGTTGCTAGTTGTTTATGTTTGGACTTCATTTAATGTGGGGCTTACTCTAGCATATGTATTGGTGGCAGGTACAAATATTCGTATTTCAGATGCTGTTACACAAAGCTGGACTACCCCAGCCGCCTCCTGTACGTTGGGCTGCATGGCCAGTGGCTCTCACATGGGCATGGTGCTCTCATACATGGTTTTGAGTACTGTACCAGAATATTTTTTTTCCCCCTCAGCAGAGTGACTTTTCACATAAGATTGAGCTGCTATTTTTCTAATCTCTTCAGAAAATCTTTCTTGGCGTGTTCAGTAGGTCACTATGAATAATGTGCTCTTCCATTTGGCAGCCAGCCGGGAAAGCTGGGGGAAGGGGAAGCAGAGGGGAAGGCAAGACTCATTACATTCAGGAATTGGAGTGAAACCAGCACTTCCCTTTTCTTACAAGGTCCAGCAAAAGCCAGCACTTTCTTCTGCTGACAGTTGTCCCTTTCCAGCCGAAGAGCTTCTTGGTGCCTCTGAGAAAAGCAGTGGATGAGGAGGCCTGAGCTCACGGGGCTGCAGCAGTGAGGGATGGTCCTGGCATCCTGGCTTTATCGCAAGGTGTAGGGGGGGCAATAGACTGGTGACAAAGTGAGGGCATGAGAATACCCTTATCCAAGGCTGGGGAGCCTGGGTTTGAGCCCTTCCCTGTGGAAATTTAGGTGTCAAAGCGAAGTGGAAGAGGAGCAGAGCCACTCCTCTATGGGGCAGTGCTTAGCCAGGACGGTGGGGGTGCCCTCCAGAGGAGGGGTTCAGACAAGGCTGATGTTGAGTTCATCTCGTGTTCCCCGTGGTAGGAGTGGTGGGTACCCCTGGCCTGGAGCTGCCAGAGAGCTTATGGGTCCAAGGACTAAGCCTAAAACTGTTCTCCAGGCAGCTCCATCAGGTAGAGCTCGCAGGAGAGACTTCTTCCCCATCCCGCCCCAGCCAGTGTGCTGCTCACAGAGGAAACACAGCATGGTAGCAGGGTTCAGGATTTGGCCCTTTTTGTGCCTAGGCTCAGTTTCTTGGCTGTTGTAAAGCCTGGTGACGCTTGAAGTGGGTGAGCAGCTACGTCAGATCTCACCACCTCTGCACAGAAGAAATGCTGTTCACCTTCAGCAGTCTCTGTGGAGGCACCTACCTGTCTGGAAACCAGTTTGGCTCCCACTGGCTACAGTGGGAGCTGGAGAGAGGTGTGGTGTCTGCATGGTTTCCTAACCCCCGCTCCTCCCATCTCAGCAGCTCTTGCTCGGTACGGCTGCCTTGAGAGCATTCACGTTACTGGTACTTTATCTTCATCACTACAGTGCTGCTGCTCCCACAGGATTTTAGGCAGCTGGGCTGACGTCCTTTGAGTAGTGATGGGGGCCAAGAGCTGCGTGAGCCTGTAGCGATGGATGGGAGCATGCAAGGAAAGCTGTGCCAGCCTGCGCTCCATCCTTCTCTGTGCTCCACAAAATGAAGGGTTTGCTGGTGGAGGAGTGACTAGGTCCTCTGCTCTGTGGGAGAAGGGGGACCGGAGGGCAGATGCCAGGGCTGCAGTGTGGGAGCAGCCCCTGGGGGTGATCACCCAGGGAGGGGGCGAGCATGCGGCCGGGGTGAGCCTGCTTGTGGGAGGGGAGGGGGCAGCTGGTTCAAGTTACTCCGTGGTTGAGAAAACACACATGTGCTCTGCATCCCTGAACTCATCACCCAGCCCCAGCAGTCTGGTAAACCCATGTACCCAGTCACCTTCCGAATCCCAGAAAATTTCTGCTATCACGTTGCCACCTGGCCAGCTTAAGAACACACTGGTTGGAGAAGCGTTTCCCTGCTTGTCTGGAAATGGGTGTTGCTAGCTGTAGTTTATCCCCCTGCCACTTTTCTGGAGGGTACTGTAGCCTGCGACTGCCCTTTTACCCCCCTGACGCCAGTCATAACCCTATAGGGCTATAGTATATTCTGCCCCTGTTCCTCCCCCGGGCTGCGGGCCCTTGCCTGCTCGCTCCTCTGACTGAAGCGGCTGCTTCCATTAGCCCTGCCTTCCTCCTTCCGCTTCCTCCCTAAATCTCTGCGCCCATTTTATTAAAGGACAGCTGGAACAGCACGCACTGCTCAAGATAAGATGTGCTGTGGATTTATATGTTGCCGTACAATATTTGCTCTTCCCTTCCCTTCCCTATTCCTTCCCTAGGAATACTGTCGTTTTGGGCTGCTGCTGGCCACAAAGCGGCCGCTTTCACCTAGCTGCCTGCTCAGCCCCTGGTAGTGTTGCAGGGCTACACGCCAGCCCGCAGTCCCACCAAGTTTATGTGCACTCGTATTTACCCTTGCCGGTCTCTGCTCGTTTTCCTGGCCCCGAGGTGGTGCCGCAGGGGTGGTGCTTTGCTTCGGCACGCTGCCGCTGTGGCCATGCCGGCGTCTCTGCTGTGCCCAGCACCATTGCCTCCTGCCCGAACGGGGACCCTGAAAGGCAGCTCGTGCTTCCAGCTACAAACCCAGCCCCAGTGACCTTTTGTAGTTTCAGTGTTTTCTTGCACAGGCAAAATTCCCCTTTTCCTCACATGCAGGAAGGCAGATTAGTGCTCGCCCCTGCCCTGTAGTGAAGAGCTGCTGCATCATTTCCTTTTCCATATTTTAGCACATTTGTGTGGTTCAGAGCTCCCCTGGAGCCTTTTATTGTTTTGAGCACTTGCACTCTTCCCTTCGTGCTCTTCCTGCAATTGTCTGAAGGCTGGATAGTTTTTGTCTCCCTCCCAACAGTTGTTGTTACTTGCCTGGAAGTGTTGCAGGTGGGTTTGTCACTATCAGTGCAAATTAATTTTTCCTCATTTTCTGGTCAGCATTTTGATTTTTATTGTACGTTGGTGTCAGTGGGGTTTTAAAGCGTGAATGCATATTCTGCCAGGGAGAGTGATCTTCTTCATAAAGGAAACCAAGGCACCGCTACTTGTACCTTCAGGCCTTGGAGATTTTGCTCAGTTGAATATAAACAAGGGTAGTATTTAAAAAAAAAAAAAAAAAAAAAAAAAAGGCA